ATATATATATATAACTACACAAAAAAGATGGTATTATTTTATGGAAATTTACTTCAGAATATTTGTGTGTTGGGTTATGATGAAAATTATATTCCGTGATACTGCAATTTTTAAAAATAGAACTACACTGTCTTAAGAGAACCCAAAGCCCCTCTCTCAATATTCCATCCTGCCTATAGCTGATAATAAGTTGTTGTAGAAACAACATAGAAAATCTCAACATTTAAAAATTTTACATCTCTGGAAGTTGAGCTCAACAAAAACTCGGCCTCAGAGGACTATTGGGCTCATGTGTATCTGAGATGGTCATTCTTAGGATGGACATCAAGTCTTGAAGAGTAGCTGTTCTGTCTCCTAAGTGGCAGAAATTGTTCTGCACAACACAGTGTATTACTGGTATGCTTTGACTCCTCTTAAACCACCTCTTCTCCTTGTAACCATTTCTCAGGTAACAAATGACTTAAGAATGCTCACTAGCTCACTTCATCAAAGAGAACTTGGCTATCCCAAGAGAATGCAGATAATGGGATCTAAAATGGCCTAGAGATGCTTGGATGGAGGTCAATGACCCAGCCATGCCAATTCCCTGTGTCTGCACTGTATCTGCAGTGGCCACGCTGGGACTCCTAAGCACAGTTCCCGCTCCCTCACACTCCCATCCGTTACCACACTCCAAGCCTGCGGGTATTGTTCCCCAAACTGGCCAGGGCATGTGTGTGGCTTGTACAGTACATCCCTACAAGATGTTCCTTTGCATATCCCACAGACCTTATGTACCTTCAAAGTTATCTTTTCCTTCTGTTTCACTTTTTATTTCTTGAACACCCCTTCTCTCACATGACTTCTATTTCCTTGCTCCTTACATCCACCAAGTGCCAATTCCAACCCATTCCAACTCTTGCAAGCTCTCACATCTCTCCTTTCCACATCGTGTGACCACTTCCAAAGGAAGGAACTCTAGAGACTCCCCTAATTTCCTATATGGTACTGAGCTCTGTATCACCAGCACACCAACCTGCAATAAGTTCATTTCTGTGCATAACAACCCTCCTGCTCAACAGCTTGCATGGCTCCTTCATGCCCACTAATCAGGCATGGCTTTGGCTGGGAATTGAACACCAGTCAAGGCCTCAACAGGCTGGTCCCACAGTGCCATCCTGACTTAACCTCCCACTGTCTCACTGGCAGCAATCCACCTCCCATACCTGGCTCGTGTCCTGAGGACACAGTAATATTTGCTCCCTCCATTGTGAATGATGATCTCTTCTTTTAGACCTACCCATCCTTCCAAGTCCAGCCCTGCCTCCACAAAGTTCCCGTTGGGTCTGCTTTCCCCTCTGTTTCCAATGAGCTTCTGTCTCCGGATACCTGCAACCCTCCATACCTGACCAGGACTCTCCTCTTCAGTGATCACTGTTCCAGGCACCCCTGGAAGACAGCAACATTGTCTTATGGACATTTTGGTCCCACTCCCCGGGCCTAGCACTGTGCCCGGCACACAGTAGATGCAACTGAGCATGTGCTGGTTGAACTAATTCCTGATTCCTGATGCAGGCCTGAGCTGGTGTCAGAGAGTTGGGGGAGGAGGATGAAGAAGTGAAGGGATGGGAGGGCAGGTAGGCTGGTGCTCAGGTCACCTCACAGGCTGGCTTGGGTGGTGGGCCTTGCTGTGCTGGCTCAGCATCACTTGGGACTGGTCCTGTAAGGCCTCCACTTGTTCAGGATCCTTCAGGCCCCGTGTTTCTGGAGAGAAGCATATAGTGAGCCCCTCTCCCAACCTGCCCTATCCCCACCTCTGTACACATCTTTGTCCATGTAGGGTGGAAGTGGGCAGGGTGAGCAAAGAGAAGTCACTGGTATCCCCATTGTTTCACCTCTGACCTCTTCTCTCTTACGACTTGGGCAAACACTCAATTACCTGGCTTGAAAAGGACAAGGGCCTTCATGCAGGCAAACTCTGTAGGGTCGACTGCCAACACCCGGAACCGTGAGATGGTTTCCTGCAGGATGCGCGTCTCCATGCTGGCCAGCACTAGCCGACCCTGGGAGCCACTGGCGGCAGAGGCCTCGGCGGGGGCCAGCAGGGGACAGCTGTCCAGAGGCAGAGACCACTGTATGGCTCCGAGAAGGAAGAGTTCACTCCATGCCTCTTCCAGAAGGATCACCTGTGCTCAGAGAGGGGATGAGTGTGACAACTGATACGCAGCACTTCTGGCTCAGCCTGAACCTTGGCCACCTTCTTGGGGACATTAGGAAAGGCAGGACTGTTTCTTGGTGCCCAGAACCATCTTCTAACCTCTGTCCCATATCAAACCCAGGGCTCTGGGATTTGGTACCATCTAGCCCAGCTGCTGGGGTTCCAAGATACTGTGGCTGGAACATTTAGGAAAACCTAGAGACATGGGAGTGGGTGACCAGGAGGATACCCAACAAGGGCACTTCCAGTTCAAGTATAGTCAAGAGATTCAACCTGACTCTACTGAGCTGCTGCGGTCAAGCCACTGGGAAGGGCTCAGCGCTTCAGTGTGCTGCTCTCTTCCCGGCTTTATTGAGAAGGTTCTGCCAGCTTGCCCAGGAGAGGCCCAGAGAGGTATCCTACAGGTGAGGAGGCTGGATTGAAACCCTAGCTAGAAGTCAGAGGCGTTATCCTGTAAGGAAGGCCAGGGTGCCCACTCGTGCTATTAAGTGTCAAGTACAGGGCATCCATAGGACCAGAGAGTGTTTGTCTAGGAGCAAAGAAGACCCCAGGGGCTATACACAGTCCTCAAATCCCATCTCACAACCATCGCCACTCAGAAATGTGCACCCCATCCCCATCTGAGACACATACCCCTGATCATACTGACTCAGAGACAGGTGGGCGCCCAATAGTCATCATTCCAGTTTTGTGTGTCCCCAGTCATCACCTGCAGAGGGAGGTGTGTGCCCCCCCCCCCGGCCTGATTGGCTTCCATGTTTGTACCTGATCCCGGAAGGGCAGGTTGGAGAACACAGGCAGGTTCTTGGCCCACTTGACAGCCATGAAGAGCAGGCGAGCTGAAGTCTCATGGGTGCTGTCTGGGCTGAAGGGGGACGAGAAGGGTAAGGGGTAGGGAGATGAGGGGAACTCTGGGTCATTGCTGGTGACATCGATATTCTCATCAGCTGTAAGAGGAAGTTGTGGCATCAGCTCCTGCTCTGTGGCAGGTGGCAAGGGGTGCCCAGGGCCCAGAGTGTAGGGATAAAGCCCGGGTACTCAGGTACTCATTCCTCAGTACCAAGGCATCCTCCCACTCACCATCCTCTGGTTCCAGCTTAGCACAGGTTTCTGCTGTTATAAGGCTGGCCATGAAGTGGTGGTGGCCTGCAGGCAGGAGGGCCCCTGGTCCCAGGGCTCTGGTTGCACAGACAGACATGGGACCTCGTGGGCTGGGCCCTGTGGGGGCCAGAGGAGCCACCAAGGACTCCAACCGGGGCTCCATGTCTGGCTCCATGTTGTCCAGGTGCACCTGGGCTGTGCTTCTTGGCTGGCGCTCATTCTGCACAGCTAGGGAGGGAGGGAGGCAGAAAGGGTCAGAACACCCCACCACTGGTCATACACCCCCAAGTTCCATCATGCCACTCATTGACTGTCTCACCGTCCTGGTTCATGCCTGCTTGTAAGCACTTCTTGAGCCGGCAGGCCTGGCACTGGTTGCGGTGGGCCTTGTCCACTGGGCACATCCCTGCCCCAACCTGGCACCTGCCAACGGAGGGGAGCCCCAGGTGTCAATGTCCTGTCCAAACTCCATGTTTGCCCTGTCCTCTTCTTCTCCAGACACCCTCCACCCCTCCCCAGGGTCCATCGGGGACAGGAAGCCAGCTGCACTCCCTGAGCCAGGAGGTTGCGCCCTGCTGCACCTGTAGACGAGCCTCCTCCTCACACTCCTCTTGAAGAAGCCACTGCAGCCATTGCAGGCGTAGATGCCATAGTGCTTCCCGCTGCTGCTGTCTCCACACACCCGGCACTGGAGTGAGGGTCCCGCACCTGAGGGGCAGAGGCTGAGCCAGCTGGGTGAGGCTGGGGCAGCCGGGTCATATCCCCCCTTCCTCAAGGGCCTCTCCACCCCTCAGCCCCGCCCTGTCCTCAGGCTCCTGCGCACCTGCGTTTAAGCACACCGGAGTCCCGCCCGCAAGTGGGTTCGCCTTGCCTTTACTTCCCCTCCTCCTCCCATACCTCTCGCTGCAGGTGACATCAGACCCCACGGTGCCACAAGAGCTTTGTCAGCATCACCTTCAGGAGCCCCTGCGGCCAGTCTCGAAGGTCTCGAAGGCGCTTCTCTCGTCTTTCCTTGCCGCTCAGCTGAGCCGTGCAGCCTGGGCTCTGCCGCCTGTGTCCAGGCTTCTGGGTTTGCCCAAAGGCTCCCCCATGTGTGCCCTTAGCCCTTGGGTCTGGGCCTGCGTTCTCTGGCTCTCGTCGTGGTTCCTGCAGACCACCAGCCCACAGGCTACTCCCCAAGGGCCCAGAGCTGGCCTCAGAAAGCCATACCTGACAGATCCTCCTCCAGGCTCCAGCTGTCAGGACACGCCTTCCTGGAGGCAGCCTCCATTGCTGGCACAGTTGCAGCCATGCTGGCTTCCTCCTGGGCAGCCTTTGCCTTCCTCCCTGAAGGCGGCCTCTGGGTGCTGAGCCAGTCCCTCCTCCCTCCCCACTTCTGCCTCTCCACTCGTGCCCTATCTCTCTTCTGACTCTACTTATCTGGCCCTGGAGGTCTCCCTCTGTCTGTCTCTCCCCCTGTCTCTCCTCTCTGTCCTCCTGCCTCCTGTCCGCTGTGTCAACTGCCCCTCACAAAAGCAGCTTTGGCTCCTGGAGATTTCTCCTAGGGCAGCGCTGGACGCAACTTATGATCCCCTTAATCTTTACTGTCTCCAGAGAGGATCAGCTGGCCACACCTGCAGCCTTACCAAGGTGCCCCCGGAGCCGGTCAGTCCTGCCTCCTTCCCAGCCCCCAGCTGCCCAGTGTCCCAGGTCCCTTCTGCCCTGAGCATTCCAGGTATTTGCCATCCACTGCCAAGTTTTGAAGGGCAGCGTGGTGCTCCTTCCCATAGGACGCTAGTCTTTTGGTCTGTGGGCACACACATGTGTGTATCTATATGGCTACAGGAACGTGGGACTTGCTTGGCACCTGGGGAGGACAAGCTCTACATCCTGTTGCTTCTCACTTGACCTGTTGATGGGGGACTTCTTTGGGCCTAGGGTTTGGGGCATTGGCCAGCCCCCTGGAATGTCCACAAACCCACATTTCTGGGATAGTGTGAGGCAGGGAGGTCTGTGGCCCAATGTGAGGGTCTCTTTCAGGACGGAGGGGGATGGGCGCACAAAAGGGGAGCTGGCTGGGCTGGGCCTGCGGAGGGGGGAGGCGAAGAGGGGAAGGCAAGCTCTAGCTCTGTGCCTGGTGACCAGTTCTCAGGTGCCTTTGACCCACTCTTCCCAGGGAGGGCGCTAAGGAGGGGTGTCTATGTGGAGCCCAGAAGAGTAGAGAGAGCAGAGAACAGACCCAAGTCAGTATCCCTGCTGCCTCAAAGGCCAGTGTGTGTCCCTGAGAGTCCTGTGTGTCGGTCAGAGCTTCAGTTTCCTCTCCTATAAAAAGAATGACAAAAGTATCTGTGGGAGGGCTCTCCCTGGTGGCACCACATGTTAAAGCACCACATTATGATACTCTCTGAAGCCACTTCAGCATGAGTTCAATCCCTGCCAGGGAGGTGACCCACAGGGCGCGGCAGCCTTGCCAAGGTGCCCCTGGAGCTGGTCAGTCCTGCCTCCTTCCCAGCTCCCAGCTGCCCTCTCCTGACCCGCCCGCTGCTCCCCTCAGCAGTGCACTTTGTCAATCTGCCTGTTCTGCTCGCCACTCTGTCTCTGGTGAATCCACTGACCACCCCTACACCTCTGATCTGTACCCCAGTTCTGTAAGCATAAGTAAATAAATCTTAAAAAAAAAATAGCTATCGGGTAGTTGGGGCAGCTAAGTAGGAAAACCCATCAAGTATTTTGTGCCTGATACTTTATAACACATAGTAAAAGATGGAGCTTGGTACTGCTATTCTTATATTGTATCAGCAGATAGCATATTATTTTATATATTATTATGAGATACTTAACACGCTAAGATAATATATTACATCTCAGGGTTATTGAGAAGATAACAGAGCAATTCAGAGGGACTCCCTGTCCATCTGCCCTCTGCCCTCACTCCCACTTCACCCTCCATGGTCCTCTCTACCCCTGTCCATGTCCTGGATGGGGCAGAAAACCCCATGTTGGTCTGGAGGTGCCTGATGTCCTCGGAAGACCTGATCCCATCTCTGGAGGCATACTGGGTTGTTTTAGCCTTGGGGTGTGGACCCAGAGAAGGGGCAGTGTGAAACTTCTGGAAGGACCATGGAGTTAAGCCCAGAAGGGGTGGGGCAGTGTCCTTATATAAGGGGTGTTAACCCTCGCTGTGACAGGAAAGCACTGTTTGGGATTTGGAAGGTCAACTCGAGGGCCTTTACTGGTAATCTGCTTTCTAGGGCCTCAGAAGATCAAGGCCAGGGGCCTGGCCCGACCTTCTTTGCCTCTGTCCTCCCTCAGGCCTTCTTCTGACAGCAGCCACTGGGGACCCTCCTTTGCAACATCTCCAGTGCAAAGGAGGAAGTGCAGCGAGGAAGCCGAGGCAAAGAAACTGAGAGGGAAACTGAGGCCAGTGGGGGTCTTGGAGCAAGGGAAGGGTAACAGTCCAGGCTGGCGGCATCCACCAGGACAGGCATCCTGTGGGCACGTTGTATCACCAGTCGGAGTGAGAATGCCAGTGAGACGGGGGCCCACTGTTCATGTTCAGGCTTTCACAGCCCTGCTAAGAAGCTGTGTTACTGCTGAGTTCTAATAACACAGGAGGAAACTGAGTCTCAAGAGACCTGAAGGGATCTGTTCAGGTCACACAGCCACGGAATGAGCAGGGGGCTCTACTGTTTCTCATGTCCACTTTCCAGCTCTCCCTTGGTGCCCTCGGAGAAGCCTCTCAGCAACTTCTGTGGCGTTCAGTGCTGGCGGCCTGGGTGAGTTGGTCCTCAGGAGAGCAGGCCTCCCTGGGGGGCGGGAGGAACTGCGCTTCATTTTTGGCTAAAAAGGGAAGGAGACGGGTGACATTAAGGGAGAAGGTGACATTAAGGGAGTTCTTTTCTTTCTTTTTATTCTGTCAAGGGAGATACTAAAGAACATTATTAAGCATTCATTTTACGATTCATTTTACAAGAGCCAAGAGAGAGGGGAAAGCTGGAGGAGGGTATAAGCTGGGTCCTGATACTGGAGAAGGCCTGCAGGGGGTGGCAGCCAGTGCTCAAAGAGGAGGAGGGGCTCTCCTGGAGTGGGGGTAACCTGAAAGAGCGGAGCACCCAGGGCTTCAGGGCAGCACACTCCCTTCTGGCTCAGAGGTGTAGGCTTAGGCCAGTTTTTCCACCACCAGCGTTTTGACTTCATCCTCTCTAAAATGTGCAGAATGTGTCTGCTGGGAGCCGCAGGGGGATTAAGAAGAGGAAAGGCAGGGGTTAGCACAAGGGAAGATGACAGGGAGGAGGCAACTGGATGGGCCTGGGAGGCCAGAGGTTGGGTGTGACCACTTTGGAAAGGCTCACTCCGGGGGGCAGGAGGGAGTTCTCAGGTCCAGCTGAGGGGAGAGACTGTTAGCAGGGTGGCATTTACCAAGAGAAGATAGACACCTGGACTGTCCCTTACCTGTGGGTCCCTTACCTGTGGGTCCTTCAGCAAATGCACAGGAGAGACCCAGGGACCCCATGAGTCTTTGTTCTTCTGAGCCCTGCCTCTCCTGCTCTGTGTCCTATTCCATCCTATCCTTCAGGGCTCACCTCCTCCAGGCAGTCTGCCCTGACTTCGGTTTATCTACTCTCTTTCTAGAGGCATCTCAATGGTCAGATGTCCTTAATGTAGAAGCTCATGCTAGGTTAACTTTCCTTCCTGCGACAATGGAAGATTCCAGGGACTGGGTTCAGATTTTCATTTCAGTTGCACATGTGAATCACTAGGCACTTAGTGGACAGAAATTATTTTTCTTTTTTTAAAGATTTATTTGTGCATACAGAACTGCAGTACAGGCCAGAGGTGCAGGGGCCGTGAGAGGATTCACCAGACACAGAGTGGGGAGCAGAACAGGCCAACTGACTAAGTACACTGCAGCCAGGAGCAGTCCGCCTCCCGGGCAGGCGGGGATCAAATTCACGCTGAAGTGGCTTTAGCTTCTTAGTGCTGTGCTCTAACCCGTTACACCACTGGGAAGGGCCCCGACAGAAGTTATTTTTAACTGGTCTTTATTTTCCTGATATGTTCCAGTTGGATCTATTACCCAGAAAGATAAAAATTAAGTGCATTGAAATGAGAGCCACCTGCAGAGTTGGATGAACATTTAGATGTTATCTTGTTGCTCCCTCACATCATTTTGATCCCAGCCCAGTTCCTCTCTTTGTGGCTGTGCTAGGGGACTGGATGAGAGCTCAGTGGGGTAGGGGTGTCTCCCTGATCTGTGACCACCAGCTGCTGGAACAGATGCCAAAGGATTTCTCTGCCCAAAGCCTTGAATATGCTGACAAAGCAGCCAGAGGCCACTTTATCACTAATACAATTATTCCCCCAGGCGACAGGTCAGCAACTTCCTTCTGACTCCAGGAGCGCTGGGGCTGGGCCCTGGCAGCCCAGGTGGGTGTGTGAGAAAGGCTGTGGAACTGTCTTCCTTCTGGGCCCTGAAGACCCCCAGAGTTAAGCCCCCTGCCCATCCTGTCAACCCTGTCCTGAGTCCCAGCCCAGAGCCAGGGGTGCCATTGTAGGGAGGAGGCGTGGCTCCTGGGCTGGCCTTATTCTCGGCACTTGCTCCAGGAAATCTGTCTTATTCTGCATTTCCTTTGAAATTCTCTCTTTTTGCCAAACAGGGTTTTCACCATTTCTGAGAAAGGATAGCTGCCCATACCCACAGTTTAGTACCCAGCAATTGTGCTTCCAGGAAACCATCCCACAGAAAATTTCACCAAGATTTAATTATACGGCTGTTTCCTGCAGCAATTTTAGCAGAACATCCATCTTAGATGCCTGGCTACATAAAGCATGTGCGCTGCCTTAATGGACAGCTATGCTCTGTCTCAAACGGATGCTTCTCTTTCCTTTGCCTGGAAAGATGCCCACAGTGTTTTGGCTGCAAGGAGCTCCAGAAGGAGACTTGAGGAAGCCACATGGAGCAGCAAGCATGTGATGGAGAAACCGTGCTTGTTTCTTGGCCCTGGACTGGTTGAAAGCGATGTGGGTGAGAGCCCCATGGGGAGGTTGACTATGGCAGTGTTTATCTTGATTTTGATTTTGTTCTTTTCCTCCCAGACTTGTCTGGCCATTTCTGACCCTGTTTCATGGGTCCCTGTTGGAAGGTGCTTTAGGCTTGTGACAGGATTTCAGGCCTTGCTTTGGGCCAATCCAATGGACTTTTACCCAGGAGGGATAAGTAACTTCAGGTGTTTGATTTGGAAACTATATTCCTTGTCTTCCCTGTATTGCACACTGATTGTATTAAAGTTCCTTTCCATTAAAGGTCTTATG